GAAGAGCTGGGAATGTCTCTCATAACGACACCCCCCAGGGAAAGGGAAGAATTCTCTGCCTTTATCCGTGTTCTGCTGTCACAACTGGCCAGGATTTTCTTAGAGCACACCCCACATTCCTCATGGGATGTTAATAGGGAGAACTAACAGCCATCCCTGCACCTGAAGGGAATTGTCATGGGAAAATGCTCCTCAGAGGAGCAGGCAGAGGAAGCGATGTTGGAGCTGGAATATTTCAAACACACCGGGGTGTACCTTCCTGGAAATGTTCATGCAAACCAGGCACAGCCCTCGGGAGCTTGGGGAGTTTCCAGTGAGGCCCCTGAGGCTCCAAACTGTTGATTCAGCACACGAGCCCAAGGCCTTACACTAAAATGCATGAATTAGTACAATACTGAAGGAATGTATGGTCAGGGACTGTTAAATAAGTTAAATATTGATACAAGCTATGGGTTTCTCCCATGGACATTTTGATTTCCAGTCAGATAATGTTGTAACAGGATGATGTTACCTTTTTAAATGTGGACTAAGCAATGTATTGTCTGTGTGATTAATGCAAAGCCTCAGGGCTGCTTTTAAGGGTAATTATGTCACAGTAACAAACTTGATTACAGGCAAATTTGATTAACAAACTTGATTCACCAAATTCATCTCTCCCACTCCTTTCCTCATACTGCACATTAGCAGATTTTGCTATGAATAGTGTTGCTTTTCACTAGATAAATAAAAACTAAAAATGAAGGCTTTAATGTCAATTTTCACTTTCCTCTTCTTAATGCTTTCCTTTCTCTGTGACAACTTCATTTTTTGATAGAAAAGCTCAATTATAGAACTTATCAAAATATTGTCTTCCTGCATCAGTCCCACAAAATAATATAACAAGAATTGTGAGAAGAAAATTCAGCAATCACATATCTCAGTGACTTTGAACAAAGAAGATAAGAATTTCTCCAGTATTAATTGTTTCAATTCCATAAGCGAGAAAAAATTATTCATGATGTGTTGCTTGCTAAAGAGACATCCTTAGAATTTAGGAAAACAGACATCTCTTGTCTGAGATCCTCTTTCCTGTGCTAAATAAATCCATCCTTGGGGGTACTTTAAGGCAGCTTCAAGACTCTGTTCTCCTGCTGAATGCTTTTTTTTTTTTCCTTACTATTTCATGGTGCTGTAGATGAGATAATGTTTCTTTCCAAATTGTTATTTTTACTTTTTTTTTGTTGATAAATAAATGATCAGTAAATCTTATTAAGGTGTTCCTGGTTTACACTGCACAAAACCAGACAGCCTAAAACACAGAAAAATCAGGAGAAACAAAAAATCACAAGAAAGGACACAGAATGAACGTAGTAACTTGCTTAGAACATACTCTGTGGTGTTTATAAATATTATCCTTTTGCTTTTTAGGAGAAAACCTGCCATTTTTTTTCATATGAATAGAGAAGGAAAGAGGTGTGAGAGTGATGTAGCTTAACTTGAAAAGGGAGTCTTATACTGATTTGGGGGGGAAAAAAAAGGAAGAAATATTGGCTTTGGTTGTGGGGGGGAGAGGAGGTGTCTGTGTACTTTTGAAAGAAAGAGAGTGTCTTTTTAATCTCTCTTCTCAAATAATGTTTTAGAGGTGTCCAGCCACGAGAAAAGCCATCTCTGGACGCTACAGTCCCCAAATACGCTGTTGTGCAAACAGCTGTGCAATTTTTTTTTTTCACTCCTGTCACAGTTTCAGATTGCCCAGCCACAGGAAATGTGACAAACCAAGTAGTCAAACAGCAAACCAAATTATTCCTGCTCATGTCGAAGTCCAAACCTGCGGGAACTGGAGTGGCAGATCTCCTTTGTGCACTGAAGTGCTCTGATTTAACTGCAAATATCATGGCCTTTGATTTGTGCTTTAAGTCTTTTCCGTTCCATATAGCATACTGGGGTTTTTTTTTTCATTTTATTCAGATACACATTCCCAAAAGGATAGTTATATTCTTCCTAGGAAGAGGATGAGTTACATGAAACATTATTAATACTCTGAGTTCTCTCTTCCTAAAATATAAACAACCCTGCTAGTATGGTACAATCCAGCTGGGTGAGCTGCCCTGCCACCATTCCTGGATGGATGGGACAGGAGGAATATCCTCCATGCACCAGCAGCCAAACTGAACAGGTGCTGTCAATCCACAAATTCTGGTCAACCCTCTCTCCCTGTAAAGGCACTTCCAGGGAACTAAATTCATATTGGCTTGACTAACAGCCAAGGTAGTTGGAAATTACATCTGGCTTCATGTGGTCTTTAGTGAAGATCTTGGTTACCAGTGCAAAGATCCAATGAGCAGAAAGGATTCTAAATCACATTTTACATTAAGGCTTCCATAATTACTGCATATTCAATTGCAAGCTAAAATTTTATTTGCTCTTCAATGCTGGAAATGGACCGACAGAGGTTATTTCAAATAAGCAACATAAGGCTAGAGAGCTGCTCCAAAGGAAAATTGTTGCTTTATACTGTACCTGGGGGACTCTGATCTTAGCCAAGCATCCTCCTGTGAGGAGACTTCCTATGAGTGACCTGCAGAGTCAGTAGACAGAATGCTTTCACTGACAAACTGAGCTAAGAGAAATTCCTAGCAGAAAATAACACCTCTCCCTAAAGCTGCAGAGCCAAGAGCTCCAGATTGCTCCAAAGGGCAGTAAAAAAATAACAGTAATAAAATTAATGTTTCAGGTACAGGAGTACAATAACCACATTAAAAAAAAAAAAAATAAAAAGAAGAGGAAAAAGAAGGAAAGAAGTAGGAGAAATAGAAATGTGTCTATAAAGGTAGTTACTGAGCACGTGTACATGAGGTTGCCTCAATGACCAAACACTAATAAAATTAATGTT